GGCCATTTAAACCTAAGTGTTCCCAGCCTTCTCCACTCTCCTCCCACACAAGCAGAGCCCTGTAGGCAGCATTCGCGCTCCCACTTCTGTGTCTGCTTGTATTATCCCACTCCTGCAAAATGAAAACAGACCCCAGAGCCACCTGTTTGTCTACTGAAAATGCAGTAGCTTTTCCAAGCGTTTGCTTGTTGCACCTTTCCCTCAGCTTTGAAATGATTGTGGCATCCCTCAGCGGCCCCTACTTTTCCTGGGGCATTTACCCTACCCCTCCTTTTATCATAGCTTATTTGTGGTGACGATGATGAAAGAGCTTCGATTAAGTGTCTGCTATGTGTCAGTACTGTGGTTTTCATAGAAGCCTAATAGCAAACTAAGGATTAAGCATTCTAGCTTGAATTTTACAAATAAAGAAAATGAGGTTCTCTGAGGTTAAGTGGGTTGACCAAGGTCTTACATCAGGATAAAAGGCAGAAGGGTCCCCCAGTCGGGTCTGACTCTGAGAGCAGCACCGGCCCTGTGTTCCATGTCTCACGTGGACCCGCCCTTTTGGTTCACTTTCCCTTATCCCTCTCTCTAATGGTGTTTGAATCTCTAATGTGCATTTCAGTGCTGATTTTTAGCTCTTTCATAAGTCAGGAGACAGTATAAAAAAGCTTTTAAGAGTCTGGCTATTTTTAAAAAAACTTAAACATTTTAAATATATTTCAGAACAAAATAGCATTTTTAAATGGGTCGAGAGAGAATACAAAGCATCAAAGAGCTCCTGGTACAGTATGTGACTTCCTGGAGCTCTGTATTCTAACCATCAGATTTTAACAAATACTTCTCTAGATAATTGCTTAATTAATATATCTGTCAAGCAAAAAGCCTTTGCAGCCATCAAGTTCTGCATATAAAAATATCCTTTAATCCAGACTTTGACACATCACTCCCTGTGATTGCAGTGAGGCAGATCCCAGTGGCACCCAATCATTCACAGGATCCTAAGGATAAAACCAGATGGAGGACAAGAACGCAGAGGGAGAAGTGAGTGGAAAGATTGTTCTCACCTTTGTGGAGTCCCTTTCACTGCAGGGCTTCAAAAATGTTTTTAAATCTTTTCAAAGTGGAAGCAGAACCTAAATCAGACTCATTTAATAAACCAATGAAGAACAAGGCAAATTGGGTTTTGGATCATAAAAGCCAGGGCTTGCACCTCAGCTTTGAAGTATCTGAAATATAGTAGAAATTGCATAACCTGTAACAAAATTTAGTTGTTTGTGGCATGGAAATATCAGCATCTCCCCGTGAGACTGATGATAAGATTAAATAAAACAATGTGTTAAAAGTCCTTAATGCTGTGCTGAGTACAGTTACATAGCTGATACTCATTACTTGAAGATTCTGTATTTGCAAATTCACTTACTTGCTGAAATTTATGTATGACTCCAAAATCAATATTCATGGTGGTGGTGTGTTCATTCACTGTGGTAAAGTGGTAAGGTGATAAAAAATGAAATCGTCACCCGCCAGGAACATTCTCAGCCGAGGTGGATCTAGCAGACAAAGAACTGTCTGATTTTTTTCAGTTCTCACACCAAAAACTTGAGTCCCTTCTCATAATCTGTTTAGTACCTCATGTTTTGAATTCTTGTACTTTTGCTGCTCAAGGGGCCCCCAGTCCTAGTTCTGCAGTGTTGCATGTGTTTTTAAGCCCAAGAAAGCTGTAGGTGTGTCTAGTAGGAAATATGAGTGTTAGATGAGCTTCAGTCATACGTGGATCACAGTGCTGTTGGCCAAAAAAATCTGTTTTTCTGTTCACATCTGCCACAAATGGAATAATACCCACCTACACTGGTGATGAGGATCTATCATTAGTCTTTAGATTAAAAGCTAACCCACTTCAGAAACAATGTCCCAGATATATTTAGAACTAATGTTCTACCAGCTCTCTAGAATCCCTCAGAAGAGGGTACTCTAAAATCTCCGTTGCTTAGCACAACAGCAGTTTATTTTTTCATTTATATGAAATCTCAGGTGTTTGGCAAGTGATATTATAAAAAGTGTGTCAGAAAACCACATTCCTTTCATCTTGTGTTTTTGACAGAACTTTTGCTTTCCAACCAATGCATAGAGAGAGGACTCATGTGATCTCTATGAACTAGCCCAGAGCACATCACTTCTGCCTTCATTCTATTCGCTAGAGATAAGTCACATGTTTATACTTACTTGCAAAGGATGCTGGGAAGTGAAAGCAAACTGTGAGCTGAGGATTTCATGAATAACCCTGATATAATTTTCTTAAAAGATTACCCTACAATCATTTTTACTTAGGTAAATGGCAAAACTCAGAGGTAAGTAGCATTTCAGTTTAAGTTACTCTTACAAACTCTACAAACTCCAACTTTTCATCAGGGAAAGTGAGTCTGTTTCCTCTCATGTGTCACAGTTAAAAGATGAGGTCCTTATGTAATGACACCATTCTATATTTTCTTGTTCTATTAATATTTCACCCAGCCCTGCTGTAAATTTTTGCCACCTCATACAAGATTATATAAAGAATATATCCAAATGCCTTCTATGAAAGAAAGTACAAAAATACAAATACCTGGTAATTTATGCTTGTTCCAATTAAATTGTGGACTTATGTTCAAGTTTGCTGAAGGATGCCAGCTGCATCTGACTTCATGTTATCATATATATTAGACTGTAAATAAAATAGCATTGCTATTACTTAGAGTAAGCATCTGGTAGACTCTGAAATAACTCTTCAGTTTTGCTGTGGTTTTATGCTGAGGGTTCTAAAGAGTATTTTTCTCAGTCTTTCTGTTCTTGTCTTTATACCAAACAAAGAGGCAGTAACAATGAATATAAGGCCCTTTATTTCAGGGAAATAGTTTATAAGAAAAGTGAGATCTTGTTCAATGGTCAGCTCATATATATACCTGGAACTCTTAGAAAAACTGTCGTGGACTCTTTCCCCAAAATGTTGCTCTGGCATATATATTTTATACCATTCCCAATTTTAGAAGATTTTTCATGCTACTAAAAAGAGGCTGGTACCATAAAATTCAGCTCTGCCATACCTGAGTATAACCTTTAAAAAAATTGAGGTGGATGTAATGGCACATGCCTGCAATCCTCACATTCAGAGAGGTTGAGATAGAAGGATCAGAAGTACAATCCCAATCCGAGCAGTTTAACAACTTAGTGAGACCTTATCTCAAAATAAAATAAAATAAAAACTAAAGCAAGGCTGGGGATGTGGTTCAGTTTGAAGATCCGAGTTCAATCCCCATTACAAGAAAGAGAGAAACAGAGACAGAGAGAAAACCAAGGTCTTACAGAGACATTTGTACCCCAGTGTTCAGAGTAGAATTTTTCATAAGATCCAAAAGTGGAAGAAACCCAGGTATCCATGAGCAGATGCTTAAATAAAAAACACATAAAAGACACATAAAAGGAAAATCGGGCATTAGTACGTACTACACTCTGAGTACACAGGAAATGTGCTAGATGAAATAAACAGGCTCAGCCACATATTATGCAGTTTCATATTACATGAGTAAATTATCTAGAATAGCTACACTCATGGATACAGAAAGTAGGATAGAAATTACCAACGGTTTGAGGATGAGGACAAAGTAGTTATTGTCTGATGGATGCAGAGTTTCTGTTTGGGTTGATGAAAATTTCTGGGAATTGATAGTGGTCGTGGCTCCATAACATTGTAAATGCACTTAATGGTACTGAATGGTATACTTGAAATAGTTAAATGCTTTACCATAATAATTAAAATCACATTGAAAAAAGTTTGAGCCTTTAAGCCTGGGTTCCAATCCCAGGTCTACCAGTTAGTATGTATGCCAGGTCAAAAGACCTCATGTCTCTGCATGGCTTTTTGGTTATCTATAAAAATGGGATATTGTTACCGACCTTAGAAGAGCAGTTATGGAAATTAATGTGATTAATGTTCTTGTCATATGGTAATCACCATGTAAAAAAGTAAAAGAACTAACATGTAACAAAATTCAGTAAAACATGTTAAGAATAAAGTATGATATTGCATAGGACTGGTTTTTGCTTATATATAGGTAACAATATTTCATGAAATAATACAAATGCCCTAGAATATTAAAGATGAAGAAACAGGTCATGTCCAGCCCTGCCTAAGTATGTAGAGTCTCTTGTAGGTTTTCCTACTTCTTGTGGAATTTTAATTAATACAGATTTTAAATCCTTGTAGTGTATCTTAATGTAGGTCCTAAGACACACATCTGCAACCACATACACACACACACACACACACTCTGCAGAGAAATACCACATTTACCTGGAATTCAAACATCACACTATATTAACTGGTTGAATCAAAGCCCAATTTGCAGAATCTTGCCAAAAATATCTCTGTCAAGAAAATACCAGATAGAGAAACTGTGCAGAGGGGAAGTGGCATGCCTTACCCAGAGGGCTGTGCTGAGCCAAAACACAGGGACAGCGAGGAAAGTCAGAGATGACAGGAAAGAAGGAGGCAAAAAAAAAAAAAATACCTAACACCCTTCATGAGCCTTGCTCCAGGCCAACATCATGAGTAATGTGGAGCTTGTGACATTCAGGAAAGGTTAAATTTCATTCAATTTCTTGTGCTTTGGAAGATGGGCATCTGCAGAATTCATTGGAAATAATAAAACCATGGGTTCAAGACAAATGATACAGAATTCGGTTATCTGGAAAACTGTGTGATAAAGTGTAGATATTTATATATTCTATTTAGAAAGACACAAATAGCTAAATTATTTATCACTTAAGTTTCTCTGTGATCTGGCTACTTTTATGAGTGTCCAACACTTAGCACAAGGCCGGCCTCACAGTGGACACTCCGGAGTGAATGAATGAGTGAGGGAACTAATGAACGAGTGTAAGAATGAAACTACCTACAGTCTGCATGTCTGCAAAACGTGTATTTCCTGTGTATGAGCAAAGACATCCAAGGTTAAAACTATCGCTTTTCTTTTTTTCAGAGCAGAAACCACTCTCTCGTGACCTTTTATTAGGAAGAGACACCTACAGTGTGACCTATGCCAGTGCCACCGCCACCGCCGCCTCCTTTGCCTCCGCCTCCTCCACCCCTGGCGGCCCCTCCTCCTCCATCGGCACCCCCGGTAAGACCTGTTTTCTCTGTCTGGCCTACTGCGGAGCATGAGCTCATTGGATATGCTTGAACAGAGGGTTTTCCATGTTCACAAGGAGCACTACCTGGCTCTCCTGTGGCAAGTGGATCTTAGGTAGCTGCCTCTTGGTAGTGTTGGAGTTTGACTTCAAACCAGCCCGGCCCAGCTACCTCTGTCCTATATTTCCTGGCAGCAGTAACCTCACCCTCTTCTGTCACCCTCTTCTGTCTGCTGATGGCTGCATGGCTTTCCCTCTGAATCCTCCCGCTTGGTACAGCTTTGTGGCTCTCCCTCAGTAACTTCCCATGTCACTAGAGGGCTCACAGGAGAGACCATGCCTAAGTGCACAGCCGATGAGGCGTTGAGAAGTCCAATACCAGGGTGTCGTTTGGAGGAGAATAATGATAACCTGGGCTCGGTCCCTTAGGTCTAGGTTTAACCAAGTTCAGTGTCCTGTGAAAAGACACCGTGAAATATAAATCGCTCGCTCAAGCTTCTCTGACTACACAAGGCTGCATTCCGTGCTCATCACTTGGTGTCTGTTGGTCTCTATGGGCTTCAGAGTTGGGTTTGGATTTAGAAAGAGCACTGAGAGGCCAGAAATTTTGTTTGGGGATAGGAATTCTCAACCTTGACTCACTGCCGTTTGGGACCAGGTCATTTTTGTTGTAAGAGACTGTGGCAAGTGTTTTAGGCTGTTCAGCAACTGAACTAGCCTCCACCTACTATATACCAATAACACCAACTGTAGAATAAAAAATGTCCCAACACATTGCCAAATGTCTCCTGGTGATAAAATATGCAGAAAGAACAGGAATGCACAGTGAAGTTTCATTGCTGAATTTGACCTCAGAAAGTCAAATTCACAATCATTACAAAGTGATAATCTATTACTGAAATTACAATTTATTACATGAAATGATCAGGTGGGCCTTAAACAGATTTTCTAGCACTGCAAGTACAACTTATAATACTTCTAAATAAAGTACTACAGAATCGATAGCCAGAATAAATTTATTGAAATTCACGTTATGGGAGATTTGAGAGATAGTATCTTTTAAACACTGCTTATGATCCATTTAAGCCCTGATATTTGTGCAGGCCTTTCTGAGGAGTGTTCTCTGGCAGAAAACAATAAACCAGTATTTAGTATACTGTTTCCTATGATAATTAGGTTGTTTTATTTTTGTTTGTTTGTATGATATTAGATGTTGAGCCCAGGGCCTTTGCACTGAACCTATATCTCTAACTTTTCAAAAAATTTTTATTATTTTGAAACAGTGTCTCACTAAATTACTAAGTGGTCCAGGCTGAGCTCCAACTTGTGATCCTCCTGTCTCAGTCTCCCAGAGTGCTAAGATTGCAAGCTTTTGCTACCACATGAAGCCAGGTAGTTTTGTTTTTAAGATTGATCTGGGAATTTAACCCTCAAAGGTTACGTTTTTTTGAGGTCAAAGTCAGCAAGGAAACTTCACTCTGTATTCCTGTTCTTTCTAAATATCTTATCCCCCATCAGGGGCATTTGGCAATACCCTGGGACATTTTTTACTCCTGCAGTTGGTGTTACTAGTTCTTTAAAGGACCCAGAAAGAACTGACACAATGATGTGCACAACAGTACTCTTCATACGAGTGAAAACAAATATACTATACTATTAATTAAAAATTGCATTATGCATGTTGTTAATTAAAAATTACATCTATACTGATTGTGAAATGATAGATATAAAATTATGAATTAACAACAGATCTTTTGTGTATATTGAAATCAGCTATATGTAACATGAATAGCAAATATCAGAAAATAATTTGTTAATGCCAATAATAAAATTTAATATTTTATTAGGAAGTTCATTAGGGAGTTTTTCTTTAAAGATATTAAAGTTCAAAATAGTCCTAAATTTATTAATGTTTTTCATTACTTCCCTCACTGTTTTTCCATCTATCTCATAGAAATGCAGGTTAATTTTGGCAGTGTAAATAACTATGTAAATTTCAATATTCTTTTAGAGACAATTTTTTCTTCAATCTGGAAAATATTTACAAGTACATATTAAATATAAAGAATTAGTGTCTTTAATGCATAAAAAGCTCTTACAGATCAATGCATAAAGGATGGGCACATTAATGAGAAGAAGAAATATTTTGACCTTACTACAGTTGAGTAAATGCAAATCAAACTACATGTTGAACATCTGTTATCAAAAAATCTGAGAAATCTAAAATGTTCCAAAATCTAAAACATTTTAAGCTTTAAGTCCATGTTCAAATTTTTCAGATATTGGATCATTTTGAATTTCATATTTTCAATTAAGGATACATAGCCAGTAAAGTATAACCAAATATTTCAAAATCTGCAAAGTCCAAACTCTGAAACTCTGTGCTCACAGCATTTCAGTTAAGGGATACTCAACCTGTAAAGAGAAACCATTTTCGTTTATTGCTTTGTTAATGATACACTCTAAAGTTTTGCTGGGCTGTGAGGAACAAGGTTCTTATAGTGCTTACTGGGAGGAAAAATTGTTAGAATTCCTTAAGACTCAATTTGTTGATATAGAATAATCCTATAGGAAATGAATATAATCTATTGACCCAGTTTCACTTCAAGCAGTCTTTCTTTAAGTGCCTAATTTTAGGTGTCTGTAAGTCTAGATCCGTATCACTCACTGTACACTAAACTAAAATTAAAATGGATCAAAGATCTAAATGTTGAAACAGAAACACATAATCTGCTAGAAAACAAAATAGTAAAACTCTTAAAGATATAGAAGTAGGGGAGGACTTTCAGAACATAATCCCAACTGCACAAGAAATAATATCAAGAATCAACAAAAATGGGATCACCTCAAATTAAAAAGCTTCTACACAGCAAAGGAAACAACCAACAGAGTGAAGTGACAATTTACATATGGGAAAAAATTGCCAGCTACTCTTCATACAAAATATAAAGAACTCAAAAAAAAAAAAAAAAAAAAAAAGACTAGACCCTTAAAAAGGACCCAGTCAAAAATGAACAACTGAAATGGATACTTCTCAGAAGAACACGTACAAATAGGCAATGAGTGCATGAAAAATTGTTCAACTTCTTTGGCCATTAGAGAAGTACAAATTAAAGCAACACTGATATTCTACCTTACTCTGGTAAGAATGGCTGTTATTGAGGCACCAAATAATTACAAATGCTGGTGAGACTGCAGGAAAAATGGAACATTTTTACATTGTTGGTGAGAATGTAAACTAGTAGAACCACTATGGAAGGCAATATAGAAATTCTTCAAAACTTAAAATAGGAATCCTATTTGACCCAGCTCTCCTCCTTCTGCGTTTCTTCCCAACAGAACTAAAGATATCATGCATGTTCAGGGATGCATACATAACCACGTTTACAGCAACACGTTTACATAGCAAAATCTTAGAAGTGGCATCTGTGTCCATCAACAGATGAATGAATAAAGAAAATTTGGTCTTTACACACAATGACATAAAAATTCACCGCAAAGGAGGATAAACTTGAGTCATTATAGGAACCTTTGTTCTCTCCCCACAAAGGAAACCATAATGTTAAGTGAAATAACCTCAAGGAAAAAGACACTATGGTAACTACTATTAAGTCAGGTTATAAGGTGGTGAAGTACTAGGTTATTGAAACAGTCATGCTGTGACCTCTATTATTATATTGTTATGTCCTGTTTTATCTCAATCTCCCCCTTATTGTTTCAAAAAAAATTATTTAGTCATTTCTTATGTTTGTCTTAATTAAAGAAATAATTCAAAAAAATTAGGATATATAAATAGTAACTCTTTTCGATTTCCTATTAACTTGTTTTGAAGTCCTGTAGTACTCCCACGATCTTGTTTTGACTGATTAGACTCTGTTCCATTCTATATGATAGTATCAAGTTTGAAGACATAGGCAACTACTTTGAAGACAATAAGATTCACTAAGATACCCATTCTGGTTTGACTATTGTCTTCTTTGGAAGTCCTGTAATGTTTACAATGCCTAAGTTTTATTGGTCTTGTTCTCTACTGTTTTGTCCAACTTTATAATATCTAATAAGATAGACAATTCTTTTTAAGGAAACAAGGGACAACGTTGATAACCATTGTTGATAAACTTGTACTCTGTTCTACACCATGTGCTACGTCTATCCTTGGTATTGACTGACAGCTTTGTTTTGCCATATTTGACTGTATTCTTCCCCCCCCCCCAAAGAAAGTAATAAGCACTAAGGAGTAATAAAATCCAAGATGTGTAAATTTTGTTGTAAAAAAGAGAGGGAAAAAAAAAAAAAGAAAAGGAGCTCTAACGGATATAACAGCAAGTGTGTTTGGGAGTGTTAAATAGCTGACTTTATCAATGTTTTTGGAACATTGAACACAGCTGTTTGCAGTCTCCCTGTTTGAATGTCCACCTTGTGTTCTTTGATACTGTGATTTGAGGAACTATTTTCAAGAAAATAGTGTGTAATCTACTAGCAGGTAATTTCTTACTGTTATGGTGTTTTGTTTTGTTTTGTTTTGTTTTGTTTTGTTTTGTTTTGTTTTGTAGTTCTGTATTGCGTGTACCCTTACGCCGCTTTGGTTTGTTTTGTGTTTTTCTCTTTTTCCTCTTAAATTAAAAAAAAAAAAATAACCTTTGTTCCTGTCCCCACCTTGAGACCATAATGTTAAGTGAAATAACTCATACACACAAGCTTAAATATTACATATGATAAACCCAAAATGTAAAGAATGAAATAAAAGACAGATAATAAGAAATAGGAAGACAGATCTTTTTTCAAATGAGAGGAGGACCAAGAGATGGAGAGAAGGCAAAGGAAGAAGATGAGAAAGATATGTTGTTTACATGTACCAGCTTCCTTCAAGGAATGTAATTATTATGTGCTGCCAACATGTACTAATAAAAAATAAAATCCGGTGAATGCAGGGTCAGAATACGGTCTTAAGCAAAGTGCTATTTCCCTCAAAAAGAATTCATCTCATTAGTGG